TAGCGGCCTAATGTTTGCAACCTTAAGCTTGTCGGGAAAAATTCCTTCTTCGATGGAGCAGTTAATTAAAAAATCAAGGGATGGCAAACGATGTCAAATGAAAATTTTAACATATTAGTGCTAATTCTGTCTGCGCCAAAAGAATTAGAACCTTTGAGATTTTTTATAATAGCTGATATGTCATTTGCTACAGCAGGTTTGAGATAAAATGAATGAATGTTCCTATCTATATTAATACTACTATTTCCCACTTTGTTATCTACGTATAGGTAATACTATTAAAATGTTGCATAAATTTATCGGCCACCTCTTTTGGTTCTGTTATTAATTCATCTTTCACTTTTAATTTAATTACCTCATGTCTAGATGCATTTTTATTCTGTTTTAATACATTCCACGCTGTCCTCATTTGATTATTAGAATTTAATATCAATACGTTATAGTGTAAACGTTTTGCTGCTATTAAAACTCTAGAATAATTTGAAGCAAGATGCTTCTATTTGAGTACTCAATTTTGATGTACATATTGTGATTCGTCAAAACATCATTTCATCTGATTTTGATGAATATGTAAGTGTCTGAAAATTAGAGAATAATGAAGGCTCTGAAATGAAATGTGAATAGGCATCAAAGAAACTGTTGAATTAACTCTACGCTCGACCTCAATCATGTCGCGTTCATGTTTATTTTGATTCATATCTAGGGCATCAAGTACGTACTTTTCCGTCATTTTACTGGAAACGATCCAACCTCAAATGAAGCTGTCTTAGTTTTTATAATTTCGCTTGAATTTTCACAGTATTCTATTTATATAAAGTGTATTTGTCTACCTGCAGTTCATTGTGGAAAACTGAACAGATGCAAACGCCTGTTGGTACATGGAACAGACCACTAAAGTATTTCTTCGATTACCCGGAATTTTACGTGTAAAAATGTAATAATCCGGAAATATAAAGACATTTAGTTGACGTAATCAACAGAAGAGATTAACTATTCTGCATTTTGTGTATCTAAGTCACGGACTTTGCTACTCTAAGATGCTGCCACGCTTTAGGCCTGCCAGATAAACCCACCAAACTTCCGCTTCACACTCTGTCGAATTTTCTACGTCAAGATCTAACCAGTACGATAGGTCAGACACTATACTATGATCAGAGAGATATTGTTAATTATAAATATATAACATCGATCTAACGTTCACGCTAGAAATACATGTAAGGCTCAATTGAAGTATTACTAGTTTAGACCTGTTTTTATAACATCGTTAAGCGTTATTGCTTAACTTGAATTCAACTCCACATTAAATTTTTTCCATTTGCAACATAAGCAGCTTAACAGAACCGCTTTCTGCGCGGTATAAAAATTATAAGAATAAATATAATTGTAATTTTGATATTAGTAATATCGTTTAAGTTACCACTATGTTAAGGATGAAAGAGATTTCTAGTTTTTGGAAATCGATCTAGTGGTGGACAAAAACACGAAAAAAAATCGCTTAAACTTTGCTTTTTGATGTTTTAGAAGCTCCTGACCATCTTCGAAAAATTTTTTGTAGGGGTTAATCAAAGACGTTCTATCATTGAGAAGCATCTTAGTCCAACAGGGAAATCAAACGGTAAAAGTCTGATGTATAATGATCATAATTCGAAATCACTATCGACTGTGAACTGGGTAACAAACACGAACTGGTCTGCGGTGATGTCATCACTAATACACCGATACAGGAAAAATATTCATATATTTTAACAACATTTGGATATTAGGAGTACGTACCACTTTAGCATTCTGCGATGGTTTTGTAAAGGATGAATCAACAGTTTTTGATATCTACACATACATTTTTCTAAATTTTATGATCCTTAAATATACCACCTACGATAGTTTTCTGAATTGATTCAGAGGCGACAAAAATAAAATCGCTGGAACAAAGTGTTACAACGTTCCAGAGATTCCTACTCATTTTCAAACATTGTTTGGATATGATGAAAATTGTGGGTTGGAAGCTATATGCGGTGAATAGTTGTAAGCTATGTAAACTGTTGCGCATCAGTAAAAGTAATAAGTCGCACATATTTTCCTTAAATATGCCATTCAAACAGGAATATGATAGATTTGCTTTATATAGGAGGTCGAAGATTCATTGTACCTAAGTGAGATTTCACCTTTTGACACGATTTGAATCATCAATTTTCTTCGAAACTTCCAATGAAGGCGTAGGAAGTATAGAGTCAATCTACTTGACGCCATTTTTCATGTATAATATCGAGATGGTGGAAAATATTATTCACAGTTCTTGTAGCCTTAGACAGTTTAAAGGTCCGATCAATAAAATGTCTCTCACACCTTTTTAGCAGTCACAGTATCTCGGCACTTAGCCTACCTCCTTAGCTTCTTAAGTATAAAAACACAGCCGAAAAGCGTGCCCTCCATTTTTTGTGCAAATAGGATGCTTTCGATTTGAATCTTTCCTTCTTAGAAACAACCTTCCTTAAAATAATATGGCTAGTGTGTAGTGAAATAGCAGCGAATACGCGAAGAAAGCTTTTAATGGATTTACTCACCATTCATTCGAAAAAAAATACTAAGTACGTCGTGTAGAATGGAAGCATCCAGCTTAGTGAAAACTTGATAATCCTTTTCGTAAATGTTTCTTATCAACCAACAGCTTTTCCATATTTGATTAGTTACGGGTTAGTTACTGGAACGCGACGTACCTTTTCGTCTAATCTTTCGCTGGCAGAATCTCGGATATTTTCGAAACCTAACAACTCGGCTATATCAGGACTTTGGTGCATATGTTGCCAAGACTATTTTTCACAAGGAAGATATGACAGAAAGTAACGTCTCATCACTTCAATAAATAAAATTATAAAATACATTAAAAAGAGATTTTATTTAGTTGTTAACAAAATAAACTAAAGATTTAAAAATATTTTTTCCGGCAGAAAATATTTATAAATATAAGCTCTCCCAGCTCAAGTTTTAAAATAAAAGCTCCATCCTGCTGTCAAAACGTAACACGCTATTATTTGAAAACTTGGGATGAAGGTGCGCTTCAGTATATCCAATCGGCAAGAAATATTTTTAAACTTTTAGTTCGTTTAAAGATTGTTTTAAAAACGTAATTGTTCATTTATTTTTTATTTTTAGCATGTGTAACGTCAAATCACTGGTTTTGTAAGTTATATAAAATTTTCAAATATTTTATCAGTAGGGCTGCATAAAATTTCTTAATTCATTTGTATGCTAAAATTTCGATGGATGGATAGAGTGTGGAATTTAAAATGACATTATTTGCACACTTCGCTTCTTTCATTTGATACCCATATCATAGCGTTGACAGAAATTAAAAATCCCCATCCAGTGGCGACCACCATATTTGATTCAGAATAACGCTTATTATCTTTCTCTCAGCAATCTCTTCCATTTGATACGATACGATTGATCGGTTTAATTCGGTACTCAGTCAATTTGAAATGGTACAATTTCCTTAACTCCATTTCAATAATTTCCTATTTATGTACTACTAAAAATGTCTTTCCTGTATATCATATGTAAATTTTGTTGATGAACTGTCATTAAGCATGTTCATCGTTGACCTTATGATTTCATGTTATATCGACACACAAATAAATATAATTGTACTTTAATTATATTGATGAAAATGTGATAGGAGCATGACCACTAAAAAAAATTTGTTACAGACATGTAATCAACTGCGTGCATAAATCCATTATGGTTTTTTTAATTTGAATCGATACGTGTAGATAATGTTAAAATACTTTGAAATCATTCTAAAATACTTCGTCACGCAATTTTACAATTCGGAAAAAATCAACAAAATTTCAAGTGTTGCATATGTTACATCTATTCTGTCAATGAAGATGGATTTTGACATCTTTATAAAAATATTAATCCTTTTCTTTGCTCCGTTTTTCTTTGCAGCATAATGTGTTAGTTTGGAGGTAGTGTGATGCAATGATTTTTGAATGTCTTGTGTTGATTGGTATTTTTGTTCAAGTGCGGTTCTCGAAAATGTTCTAAGAGGTCTCTTAAAATTTCATAGCATGTCTAGTGAGATTTGAATAATACTAATAGAGCGCGTCGATCGAACAGCTCTCAAGCTTTGATATTAAAACAAAGTCTTACTTATAAACAGCAATCTTAAAATAACTCTCGTTTAATACAGTAAGGTTATATCAATTATTTTTCATGCAAGTATGTATATGCTGTTGAATTATCCATACCAATAAACTATATACAATGAGGAAACGTTACAAATAATCAACAATACTTATAGGCCCTCTCAGGGTATTTTGCGGGACAAAGTAAAACTACAGGAATTACTTTAATGCATACATCTCCCTCACACATACATAAGCAATCAGCCTCCATGCGTGAACACTTGTTTAAGTTCACAGATATACGTTTTTTAGATTTGTCTCGCCGCCTTCAAAGTTTTCTCGTCAACGTATGAGCCTTCCAAATTTATTTTTGTCACTGTTAGCATGACAACTTGCTTGACATGGTCGTGCGTGTTTACTTTTTGTTGATCTTCGATATAAAACATGGCAATGCCTGAAGATATGCAAGAACAATATGACCATTTTGAGAAAAACGAAAAAACCGTTTTGAATGAAAACCATGGGTTACTCAGCCTAATCATGTATTGTGGAGTTGTTGTTGTGACCGATAATACCTTCATAAATTGAAAAAAGGAATTACTGCAAAAAAAGATATTTGAAGAAGGATGACTTGGAGCTATACTGTTCTTTCACTCAAGTGAAGAAAAAATGTTGAAAATAATTTTCTTACTTTATTGATTGATGTTTAACAAACTATCTACCCATTTTCATTCAGAATTTTCAGTTTTTACTTTCCAAGAAACAATATGGTAGTAAAACTCAACGGATCCATCAGAAAAGTAACGTAAAAGTGTGTTTAAGTCAGCTATTTTCTTTGAGTTAATGGGAGCAGCTGCTGAGTATGCTTTTTCTTACGTCAATATGGATTCAGCACTAGGTTTGATTAACTTGAAAGTGTATGACAGAAAACCTCTTGTGACGTTACTTGTCGCCCCATATCCTGGAGTTTCACTAGTGTATGTAAACTGGCTGTACTGCGAAATGGATTAACTTTTTGACCATCAGCTGACTTGGACGTTTTCTTATAAAATTGCGGCCACCAGTTTTTGAAATCAATGATATCGTTATATCTAAGCGTACTAAGTGGAAATGTTAACACCTTCCGTAACTTGGTATCATTTGCTCATATTCTTCAAGAATATATATGCGATCAGCTCTTATCGCCATTTTAACGTCTCCGAAATCCCTATCACAGGGCAAAAAGGAATGGCCACGTACTGGAAGGTAATAAACTATTTTCTTGCCGATGTGAGTGTCATTAGGAACGTACCATTGTCTGGTTGAGATTTTGGATAGGACACCCGTCGGAAAATAAGCGAAGTTCGGTAATTTCGCTTGACAGGGTATATGGCACAATATGGCGGTTGAGTGGAAGAACGGTACATGCGACGCACGTGTACTGTTCTTTCACTCAGGTGTTAATTAAGCACCGAACGTACAAGGCTCGTCGTTGTACCATCATTTAGTAGGTCGCGCGGATCGAACGTCAGTACTAAATCATAACCTCACTCTTTAGTGTACTTAAATTCAAAAGTTTTACAACAATACGTGCAGTGTTCTCACTACAGTGAATTTTTAAGTGTCACCAAGTCATTATAAAAATGGAACTCAACCGAGAACATTTTCGCGCCATAATTTATTACAACTTTCAGAGACAATTATCGCAACAAGAATCCCTTGCTGAGTTACTGTCTGGTTTCGACAACGAAGCACCACATCAGTCGACAATTTCCCGTTGGTATGGAGAATTCAAACGTGGATGGGTGAGTCTTAACGACGATCCCAGGTTGGGTGCACCAAAAACGGCAGTCACCCAGGAAAACGTCGATGTTGTGCGCAAACTCATCATTGAAGATAGACATGTGACATATCGCAAGATTGAGGCGTCCTTGAAGATCTCGAAGACCTCAATTCAAAAAAATTTACATGAAGAATTAGTAGTAAGAAAATTAGTTTCTCGTTGGATACCCCACCTGTTGACTGAAGAGCAGAAAGCAGCCAGGGTTAATTGGTGTCAAAAATCGCTTGACCGCTTCAATTCCAGAAACTCAAAAAATGTGTACAGCATTGTTAGTGGTGATGAATCGTGGATTTACTGTTATGAACCACAAAATAAACGACAGTCGGCTGTTTGGGTGTTCCAAGGTGAAGAAAAGCCAATAAAAGACATCCGTTCTCGAAGTGTTTCGAAAAAGATGGTCTCGACATTTGTGTCAAAAGCGGGTCATATTGCAACAATTCCTCTTAATGAGCAAAGAACTGTTACTGCGGATTGGTATACCACCACTTGTTTGCCAAAAGTCATCACCGAGCTTCGAAAAATCAACCCCGAAAGAAGAATCATCCTCCACCAAGACAATGCAAGCTCGCACACAGCCCGAAAAATAAGGCAGCATTTAACGGAAGAAAACGTGGAATTACTGGACCATCCTCCATATAGTCCCGATCTAAGTTCTAACGATTTCTTTACTTTCCCGAAAATTAAAAACAGACTGCGTGGTCAAAGGTTCCAGTCACCAGAAGAAGCAGTTGAGCATTTAAAAATGCCGTTTTTTATCTGCCAGAAAACGAGTGGAATAAATGCTTCAAAAATTGGTTCGAGCGCATGCAGATGTGAATTAACCTTCGTGGAGAATACTTCGAAGAACAATAAAGTCATTTAAGACTACCTACCGTGTTGTTTTATTTCCATATGCAAAACTTAACAGACATCCCTCGTATGATGAGTATTTGAGTTTCACAAAATTTGGCTACCTCAGGGAAAAATTGCCATATTTGGCAATTGTATTGTTCCTTCATTCGCCGGTTCAACTACAATGTTGTCAGTCTGTGTTAAATTGTTTGTAGTGTTTTTAGAAAGAGAACTAAAACAACGGTCCTTTATCACTCGATTAACTTCCCAATCAGTGATCCTATTCTTGACTTCAATAGAAAATCACACTCCCTCTTTTTCTACTCCCCCGGTTTTCTATCGATTCGAAAATACTGTATTCTTGAAAGGTCTCGATAGAAAGGCGAAAGGAAATCAAGACACAGGGTTGCCAGGTTTGAGTAAACTTGTTAAACCAATCAAAATGGAGATAATTTTGACAGTCAAAAAGTAACCAAAGATTTTGGAAATATTTCCTCCTTATAATTTTATCTATGGAGCCGAAAACTTTGAAAAAGCACATTATAAATGAACAAAAGGACAAAATGATTGAGTTTCTTCGGGAGCAGCCCCAAATGCACCAGGGCAAACTCAATCATAGATTAAAGGATACTGTTTCAGAATAACTAAAACTTAATATCTAGGACTCTTGCCTTTGTTTTGATCGAAGCAATTCATACACCAAATCTTTGGTCAATCTGAACATCTGTACAAATCTTCGATCCGATATTATGAAAGGATCTCGATGCCCTAGAATATCTCTCCCTATCGCCCATTCCTCATCTGCCTCCTCTACATCCCCGTTAATAATACCGTTCCAGTACATCAATTGATTGAAATTAACCATTTTTTGCAATATGTTTAGCAGAAACGACAATAACAATGTCAAACACGTCAATTTTTAGGTTATATAGCGCTATTTTCTACTAATTTTTCCAGTTTCTCTTGGTCGGTACCAAGAGAAATCGCGACTCCCTCTATCACTGTTCGGTAGAACTGATTTCAAGAATACTGCATTTCTTGGCCACACCCACTTTTTGTCACTTTCGCTCACAATTTCTACTCGCTCAAACTCAAGAATAGAGGTCCTGTTTACCTATTTCGTATGACATTGTGACCTAACGGCTGAAAACGGATGCTTCTATTTTTCAGGAATATGTTAGACATAACCCATATAAGTGCACGGCACTGATATAGTAATAATATTGACATAACCAGTCATGTTTGTAGAACCCAAACTACTTTTATAGCTAGTACTCGCAATGATACATGCTTTGCTTCTTATCAGGGATCATTCTGAGGAAGATGATAACGCTGTTTCATGAATCGTGATGTATCGCCTTATGCAAGCAGCCGATATGGAGGAAGTTTTTTTTACCTAAACCACTACGAAGGCCTAAACATCCATGGGTACTGTGGGGCTACAGGGGAAAGGGGATGCGCCACACGGCCTCTAGTGAGAGAACACGTGTGCATGCAACATGCACACATTTTGGTCCCGGGTTAGAGATCCGAAGGGTGGTACCTCCGCCTACCAATCTTCTGCCTAAAACTGAAACAAATCAAGCATCCTGGGCTGGGTGAAAACTGTATGACAATAGTAATATACTATGAAACTGCCAGGCGTCTGGATAGATTTGTATTATGACATGACCCAAATATCTTTGGTATGAATACTTTTGCCAACGCTACCCATCATGATGAAATGCTGCAAGCATTACCATGGTGGGTTATATAGCCAAAGAGTGAGTGGGGCTACTCTTTAGGCAGAAAAGGCCTATAGGTCAAGTTTCCCTGCACGGTAGTTCCTTGCAGAAAGTAACACGACAGAAAAATGCCATCCCCAAAGTATATTCTGAGCTTTGAGGCTTTATTTTTCTGAAACGTGAACATTTTGGTAATGGCTTGCAGTTGTTCTGTATGCAACTTAATCACTGATCAGTGGAATCACATTTGCTAAAATTAATGAATAATGCCATTATAGCTTTTTGCTTAGCTACTTAGCCTTTTATTAGTCATATGAGCCCCGAGTATATCAAAAAATTCTCTAATTTAATAAAAAAGCACGTAAATAGATCAATGTTTGTACTTTTTGTTACGAGTATAAGTTTTAAAATAACATTTGAAATATTCGTGCTTATTTAACACGTTCACGATGACGTGGTACACCGGTGGTACATCGCATATCTTACCAAAAATCGTCTGTGGTCACCGGTGGTACACTGCCAGTTGATTATTTCTTGCGCTTCCAATCCTTACCGTTTATAGTAGGTAATTGTATATTCAGCATACGGCTATAAATATAGGAAGCATACATTCGTGTCCCACCGGTGTCGCATCTGGCTATAATTGTGAATTTTATAGGAAATCTAATTAGAGGTATAAAAATCCATGAGTTTCATATTATTTTATTTGTAAAACACATTGTAACAACCAGATTGAGTAACTGAACTAGGTAAGAAGTTAGAATATTTAGTGAAAAATAACTCAAAATTATTTTTCTAAGATTGGAAATAAGTACTTATATATTTAGGTAGGTGTTACTTATGAATTTCATTAAAACATTGAAGGCATAGTGTCGGTTGCTCTGGGCAATCTTTACAAAATGTAGAAACACGCTTGGCTTTATTTCTAGCCTCTTTGACACCGCTTGTGCTCTGGAGTTTTCGGTAACATGAGGTACATCTCTTCCGAGTCATTCTTACCGTGCCATCATATTTTTGCATCTTATGATGAGCGATTCTGCTACTAGCTCGAGGTCTCTTTGTCACTCTTTGTTCGGACACGTTAGCGGCAATATCTTCAGGTTCTATATTTTCTTCAATGTCTTCTTCCTCCAACAAGCCCCTTGCAACTTTTTCACGAAACTGCAGCATAGAAAGTTTTTTCGCATTTCTGCCATAGTAATTGTAAATCACCCACGAGTTCACCATGCATGTGCCAAGCAGTATTTCAAAGAATACTTTTTTATACCACTTGATACTTCTTCTGATACAGGTATAATAGCTGGACATTTGGTCTGAAATGTCGACGCCTTTCTTAGAATTGTTGTAATCAATGACTGCTTAAGGCTTGAAGGTGTCTTCTCCTTTTCTAGTTTTCTTTCCCGTTGCCTTGAGTTCTGCCTGGTGGCTTGGGCACGTGCTGATCATCAAGACAGGGCGTTTGTCTAACCATTTCATCACTCTAATTCCATTCTGATTCTGTTGTCCAAATACCTCTCCCTTCCGAAGCTTTTTTTGCAAACTGTGGGTGGGTTTCCCTTTCTATTTTGTCTGAGTGTGCCGCAAACGTAAGTCTTACAGTTCAAAAGGGCCTTACATAACTGGACACTTGTATAGAAGTTATCAATATAGAGCGTGCGTCCTTCGTTTAACAGATCCTGTAGTAAATCCATACAAACGTTATAAGTATGCCCACGATCATTATTCGGAGCATTTCCGACATTTTTCCTGCATATATACGTATGTCGAACGTATAACCTTCGGGAGTACAAATTTTGTACAATTTTACACCATATTTATGTGCCTTTGCGGGAAGATACTGCCGGAATATGAGGCGGCTCCTCCATGGCACCATACTCTCGTCTATTACAATATTCTCAGCGGGTGTAAGTGTTTTTTTGAAAGTGTCACAAATGAGGGTTACAACATGTTTCAATTTGAAAAGACGGTCAGTATCTGCAAGGGGGTCTTCATTATTGGACAGATGAAAAAATTTCAACAGGCAGTCAAATCTGTCACGCTTCATTATTTTTTGAATAAGTATGTTACCATACATGTCATTACTCGACCAATACAACCGGGTTTGTGGCAAATGGTGTATGCCCATGACAATCAGGATAGCAAAGAACTTTCTCATTTCACTGCGGTTTGTGTCCTTCCATTTACGAAACATCGAACGCGGACGAAGATTATGCGATTGGATATACTGAGCCGCATAACGATTGGTCTCTAAAACGATAATATCGAGCACTTCGTCGCAAAAAAAATGTCTGTAAATGTTATACGGATCTGAAAGGTCTATTGTGTCCACCTTTATGCCACCATTTCCTGTATATTGGAAGTTGAGGGGTATATCTCTGCATGGTTCCCATTGATCTGCAGCGGCATCAACATTTCCATAGGGCTGGACTTCTTCGATAACATCAACATTTTGGTCGATTGCAAACTCATCATCCCCGCTGGACTCAGTAGATTGTTCATCCTCTGATAGACTATCTTGCTCGTCTTCGGAAGGGACGCAGGATTCTCCTGAATCCTGGAAAGGCTCTGATTCTGACGATGATGAATAATATGCATGACGTGATGCGACAGAAGACAAAGGATCATTTTGTGGAATGTGCGTCAATGTAGATGAAGTTGATGGCTGAGGATGTTGGAGAATCCCATCCTGGTCAACTGCAGATGAGACTGATTGCTGAAAGCCGGCTGCAGATTGAGATGATGGCCAGGGGTGTAGCGAGATCTCACAATGCTCCATTGTAGATGAGGTTGGTGGTTGCGACATTTCATCATAGATCTCCCTTCGTGCATCATGTACTTCTGAGGACTCCCCATTATCTGTAAGGGCCAGTGGGCTATAGGCTAGGGCTATAACGAAAAAAAGAATCATCAATGCCGTCGTGTACCACCGGTGGTACATATCTAAAAAGGGATTCAAAGGTCAAAATAATACTCACTTACATATTTTCTAGCAATTATATTACAGAAAATGTACATTTGCACTAAAAAAACCAAAAGAACAACTATCTGCTATAGTCGTATTTCACTCCATGCGTTGTCGTCGTGAACGTGTTAAGTATTTGTTTTAGCATACTTTGGTGTATAGCTGAAATGAAAAAAAATATGTGAATAGTGAACACCTTCACATATTTATGATGATTTTTATGATTATGTTAAAACAGAAAAGGCGAAATAACACTTATCCTTGACAAATTGTGATCCAATAACCGTAACTCTCACAAAGCTGTTTAAACACCTAGTTGAAGCAAATTCATAAGGTGTATGTGTTTACAACGTTGATAAACTGGCGTCTATTATAGTACAGTCATTATAATCATGTAATGTATATTATTATAATGGAGTTCTTGCTTGCACAATTTAGTAGTGCTTTTATATTCCCTTGTTGCTTAACCTCAATCTAAAATGTAAAATCGGAATTATTTCTTATTCTTCAGGAAAATACAGTTCAAATGATTCAAGATACTATATATTGATAATGGTATTCACCAAGCAAAAAAAGAATGGTAAGGTTAATTGACTATTCACATCGTAGAGCTGCTGATCTACGCGAAAACAAATTTGGCAGATTTTATGAAGTTAGATGACCACAATTGATATTCAACCAAAAACTCTAAATTCTCTCACACATATGTCATCTACAAAAAAAAGTTCAAACCCAGTGTCAATAGATTGCCAGACACTCTGAAAATCTTGCCATTGGAATCATTTAAGGAGAGGGCCAAGACTCTGCTAAAGCAGAAAGCTTACTACTCTACTAATGAGTATTTTATGCATCAAATATCTGCTCAACATGTGTTGCTTTTGCGGCCAAGTGATGCATCTGTTTTTTCTAAGATGTGTTCCTTTGGTGAGAATTTTATGGATATATACAATGTGTTTGGTCACGACATACCGATATTTAAGGGGCGTATTTTTCAGCTATTTTTATGGACAACAACAATGTACTACCTCACCCCTCTTGAAATGGCAGCCATTTTTATTTTTACGTTACGATTACGCTAGTGCATGTAAGAAAATTGTAATAACTGAGTACATAAGTGTCACAGAATGATAAATTTGAACGATAACATGTTGCCCTGGCGATTGTTGAAAAACTTGTATTGATACTAACCGTCAAACATACTTAAAAACAGACAAAAACAGAAAAAAATATGCAAGAAAATTGATTATTTTGTGCATTTCCGCACACCATTCAAAAACTAGTATGTGAAGTTGTACTTTTTTGTGCCAATTCTACAGCTAACTATGTTATCTACAGAATGACAACAAATTTGTTATCCTAAGTCTTCTACGTTAAGTAATAGATGCTATATAACATTGGTCAAAATGGGTGTAATAAAATGCAAATTGCTTTCAAACTTTTTATACATAAAAATGACAAATCAATATCATTGTCATGAAGAGTTTGGACATGTTCAATGTTACAGAAGCTGTTCAAAATGTCCTCCATTATTGGTTATGCACATTGTTGCTCTTCTTAAAACCATGTGTCGTGTTGAGCGGCGAACTATATCCGTGTCAGCTCTAATTCCGTTCGTAGCGGTATGGATTCTTTCCATGAGCTCTTGCCATGTCGCCGACACATGACAGTAAACTTTTTGCTTCATTGTACCCCAGAAAAATAATCTAGGGGCATTAAATCGGGTGATCGGCTGGCCAAGCGACAGTGCTTCCACGACCTGACCATGGAGAATGTTGCCCATCCAAATGTTCTCGTACAACTCGCGCAAAGTGTGCGGGAGCTCCGTCAAGCTACAATCTCATGTTGCGGCGGTTCATAAGTGACAGATCGTGGAGTAGATCTGCAAACTCGGTCCTCAAGAACTCCAAAAATCCCTGGGCATCTAACCTTGGAGATAGCTCAACTGGGCCGACTGAGACTCCTGTTGGAAGGTGCTCGGTCGAACTGTATGAGGGTTTGCCGTCCCCAGAATGTTTACCCAAAAGTTGCAGTCTTGACGCAACCAGGTGCAAACTATGATTCTTGGTGCATAATCTGGCTCATGAAGATCCTGAAGTCTTCTAAAATGATAGGGATGTAAACCTCCTCTCTTAAGGACTATCCAAGCCGACCGATGTGACAAGTGTAGTCTTGCAGCGATCCTCCTCACACTAACTCTCGGATCACGGGTAATCATGTTGAGAATATCTTCTTCAACTTATGGAGACAGTAGCCGATAACGGTTGTTTACTAGCCTTTAAATGCCATTTTCTGCCAGTCTCAGGTATGTGAAGACAAAAGTCCTAACATTTTGCGTAATTCGGTCAGGAAATCGTCACAGCAACTGCGGCATTTCCATTGCAAAAGCCGTAAACAAACACCATATCAGCAGCATGGTGTTTTGAAAATTTATTTCGTGGACGATTTGGCATGATAGAGACTTAATCATGACTAATAAAATATTCAGTCACAAATCACTTCCAACTCAAATACCTTCAGAAAATTGATATTGAAACTAGTCAGCAATGGTAAAAAATGGACGTATGATCACAACGCGTGGCGAGGGACTACAAAACACTCACTGTGACATTGACAACAGATAACCGGTTCTTACCATCTCGATAACGAGACCTTCTGGTAGATGTTGTCTCATTCACACTCTCTATACAATCATCTCTATACCAGGAATGTTGGATACGGTCCGCTACCTTAATCGGGGAGGCTTGCCAAAGGTCATGTTTAAGCAATATTTGTACTTAAAATAACTAACATACTGTAACAAATTTCGTGTCATTTTTTAGATAACATAGTTAGTTGTACAATTAGCACAAAAAAGTACAACCTCACAGACTAGTTTTTGAATGGTGTGCGGAAATGCACAAAATAATCAATTTCCTTGCATGTTTATTTTTCTGCTTTTGTCTGTTTTTAAGTATGTTTCACGGTTATCAATACATGTTTTTCAATAATCGCTAGGACAACACGTCATTGTTCAAATTACACCAAATTTATCATTCTGTGACACTTATGTTCTCAGTTATTACAATTTTTCTACATGCACTAGCGTAATCGTAACGTAAAAATAAAAATGGCTGCCATTTCAAGGGTGGTGGGGTAGGACATTGTCGGGGGGTGGATCTGTCGATAAAATTGCTGAAAAATACCGCCCTTAAATATCGGTATGTCGTGACCAAACACATTGTATATATATATATATATATATATATGTATATACTTTCACGTAATCTATTCATGCTTGTGAAAATGTCATGTTCCGCGATTTTGATTAAAATCTATTGTATATGAGTTCTTTATTTTATGTTATTTGTTTTTCTCTTAATACCGACTATCTTACAACTTTCCGAGCTTAAATTATAGATTATCTTTCCCTAAAATTATTCTTTTAGAAAGGTATGAGGACCATATTATTTTATCTCACACCAGATGAAGAAACAAAAAAAAAACTCAACTTTTTTGTTATGTTACGAAATTATTACGGAAGTTGCTGATTGCATAATTTAGTATCATTTTTATCTCAAATAATTACGTTGTAGGTGTGTTTTAAAACTGTTCCTATTTTTCCGAGTGTTATTGGTCTAATAGGGATTTTCGTTATGACGGTTACTAGAGTAAATAAAATTGTAAAATATCGGAGATAGCGTCGTTTATCTAAGATAAAAATAATGTGTTACATCGGTAAACGCCTTGTCGAATTACCGATATGCACTAGAAGTGTACAGAAATGTTTACCGGCGTGAAGTTTCCTATTTCGTTAGATTTGTGAATCAAGTCCTATGTGATAAGTTTCAGTGTGTTTTATAACCGAAGATTTTCGATCATCAAGTAAGTCTCTCTTAAAATTTGCTGAAATTAAACGAAGCATTATTGTTATCAAAATTGAATTTTTTAGGACTTTCTGAGATGACTGCGACTACTTTTTTGGTAGACGACAAAATTTCATCACAGGGGCTAATAAAATCTGGCGTACTACAAGGTTCTATCTTAGGGCTACTACATACTATTCACATTATATACCTCAAATTTGACCAATTGTAAAATAGTGACCTACGCCGACGATACCCCAATAATTATGCAAACGCTACCTCACTTAGGTGTATAAACAAGGCTCTAGAAGCAATCTATGCGGAGGACAATGCTCTTGAACACCAAAAAAGCCTAAATGACCAAACCTTACAAATTTTATTCTGCCCAAAAACGAAAATTTTTTAAGGAAATTTTGTATCTATAAATCACAGTTGAAATTCCCCGACAGTGTTAAAAACCTCGGGGTGCTCTTTGATGAAACGTTTTGACCAAGTTTCTCAATAAACCTTTTATGTGGAGGTCTAGTAATTTCCAAAATCCTTTATTGCATGCCCATAAAACATATTGTCCCCCCCCCTAGACCAATATACTACCGAACGTTTGCAGAAAATCCAAAATTACTGTTACCGTCTGATAAACAATCTAACAAGAAATTTTAAGCTGCATCTTCTGCATATGTAACTGAAATGGTTTCTAGTATTGAACTTTTACATTGCTTTATTTTAACATTTTTGGTTATTATTAATATAGGGTGTTTCAGAACTAAGGGATCAAACTTCTAGGGCTTATTCAGTGTAACAGTAGAAAACATTTGAGTATAGTGACCCATATCCGGAAAAGTAAAACTACGGCACTACGGCCCTAAGACGCGATAAAATTTAGAAAGACGATGAATTGCCTAAATACGATTTAATGCATTTAATTTTTGCCTTTTGTACATGATATGATCACAACAATTGTTCATAATGTCTTCCTCCAACCTGAATACTCGTTTTGAGTGATTTCAAATGCTGCCGTAGTTCGTCCAATTAAGTCTTGCTCTGTTTCTACTGGAGTTTCGTAAACCAAAGACTTTACATGTCCCCATAGGAAAAAATGTAGCGACGTTAAATCGGGTGACCTAGGAGGCTAAGAAACTGCTCCACCTCTGGCAATCCAACGATGCCCAAACCGCTGAACCAAATACTCACGTACTTGTACAACAAAGTGAGCCGGCGCTCCATCATGCTGAAACCACATTTGCTGTCGAAAGTTCACTGGAACATTTTCAAGAAGTTCTGGAATCGACAAATTAATAGCATAGCTTCCTACTAAACAATGTAGTTTGTATTTCTTACTCAACTGATTGTTGGCTATGGAGGTTCAGGGTTCCAACCAGTTTCTTCCTACGTTTGTTCTGAAACAGTTGCCTGCGACAAAACTGCGTTAGGTGATCGAGGCGTGGAACATGCGCAACATGTCGCAGACATTTTCATTTCTAGTGTCTGTGCCCGGCAACGGGTATTAAGTATCTTGAAAAGTGACATTATGTCGCTTTTTTTTTGATATTGTATTGTTTTTTGTGACATTATGTAGGTTTTTATACAAGATGTTAACTTAGCTCTAGCTGATGGACACTTGCGAAATCGTTTTGTAGTTGTTGCCTAAACGTCATGAGGTTTCAGATATCAATGGTTGGCTCTGATGTGATGTAAAATCTGCTTCAGAGATGACATTACTGGAGATCTAGGCTGTAAGTTGTATACTATAGCTAGAAGGAAACGGCAATGCATATGTGCATAGTGAGGACTTATGTATTAATAATATGTGTAGATGATAATTACATTGGATTCTTGTCTCAAATACACTTACTTGAGATTCGAAGCTAGAAATTAGTTGCCCAGCCAGTCACTGTACACTGTCGAATTACAAGAGGTGGTGATTTCCCGTAATTCTCCTCAAAGTTTTTGAAAACACAAAAAAAACGTAAAATATCGTAATTTATAACTTTGAACAAAACCTTTGTTCAGAAACGACAACATATAAATAACCCGTCGGCACAGCTTAGAGATATACTTCTTTGGCAGCATATTCAATAATGATGTTCTCACATAGCAAATGACTGATGAATGACACTGATTTTATATACAAGCAGACCAATACACATAATCATCCAGATGCGATCTTGCTACTAGAGTACAGAATACTCGGCTTCACAACATATACGCAACCAACAATGCGTGTAGTTGAGTCATTCCTCCATAGATGGACGCTCACAACGTGGAATGACTGTTATCTATAATAATACTCTTTATTTATAATGCATATATTATTAAAGGGCAAAGTTTAGCTCATCTAGCTGTACTTCACATACATAAACAAAAAATACACTTATTTATGCAAACGGTGATATTTCAAATGATATTCAAACCTATCTAAATACAACGGTTTTAGGTTTTTTTGGAATAGAGTTGTGTAAAGCTACGGTGAATGTGAAAGATATGTTAAATAAAGCTGTCCTGTGCTGAGGTTTGGTGACACCATATTTAAGCGAGGTATAAGTTTATTTTGTAAATATAGTGACTTTCTATTCATTTTAATTTCGTGTGCAGGAGTAGGAGTAAGTTATACTTGAAAAGTCCAGCGACGTTTAAACAGCTCATACTATCAATGCTTCTTGAAGTGTAGTAGCATTTTTTTCATTTTTATACAGTAACAATTGTTTTGCATTTTTGGTAGTCGCTTCGCTGTGATTTGATCTAAACATGGAAACTAATGAGACACAATATAGAATTTTTGATATAACTAAGCTTCGCAAAACGCTTTTCCAATAGACAGAAACAAGAAACTTCAGCACTGGCCAACAGGGAAGATTTTTGTTCGGGATATAAATGTTCATGAATTGTAAAATATCTTTTTGTTTAACACGTTCGCTGCCGCTGGCTCTTATAAGAGTCAACGCAAGATGTTTGCCGATGCCGCTGCCTCTTATCAGAGCTAAGGTACAATACTGCAGGCACTCAAGGGCACAAATTAGTAAAACGTGATTTAGATGGTAAAAAACAAGTATCCAGCAAAAGATGCCAGTCTTGTAGCAAGAAGGGAATCCGTACAGAAACGATGTACGAATGTAGAACATGCCCTGATGTTCCAGGATTCTGCTTGGAGCGCAGTGACATTATTAAAAATAGTCTGCATTCACCACAAATTCATGTTTGTATCCTAAAAAAAAGTTGTTTCATTTCTTATTTTTGATTAGATTTTATCACATTAGGTGTATTAAGGTACCTAGGTCGAATATGGCCACCTTAAGGCTTCTTAACTTTTTTCTAAAATAATAAAGGTAAAAGAAACAAGTCAAAGTAGTTGTCCATGAAGACTGAATATTTAACTTTATGATGAAGGCAGAAAAATACAAAGATATTAAATGATAGAAATATTTTCAACAGTTTGAAAAAATATTGAAATTTGGCCATATTTCCGACGGGGTAGGTAAATATGCCCATATATGTGGCCATATTTACGGTATATATTATTTTAAATAACTTCTAAATAAGTGAAATAGAAATGGACATTAGATTTTAATACAACTTTATTTAAAAGATATTGTTTAGGCGACATCCAGTACATTATCATCGTCGTGGTTAGTCCAGACTGCACCGAGTGCATACAAATTTATCTGTATCTTCTTTTGTTAATCCAACACAGTCCTCATGGACATATGTTTCACATAAAAAGCATATTCTCATGTCTGCTATTCTGTCCTCATTGCAAACATAACAGTACCATGAATCTTTAGATTTTTCAGATTGTCCTTTACCACGTGACTGTTTAGAAACCTTCTTCGGAGTTACTGCTTCACTGTTGTTCCTTTTAGCAGAATATTTTCTTTTTTGGTAAGCCACTTTAAATGGGCCTGCTATATTTTCTATTTTTTGTTTAGGAGCATTTGATGGCCCTGACACGTTATTTTTATCTGTAAACATTGATTTTGTTAGCGCCTGTGCGAGACTATTGATAGCTTTTGCCCTCGGAGCAGTTTTTGGGCTTGACGTTTTCTCTGGAGTTTTTAACATTTGACACAAAGATGTATATGACTCATTAAGTGTTTTGGAGCAGACTACATCTAATTCAGTTTTTGACTCGATATTATTGTTATGTTGCTTTAGTTTGGACAAAGGAATGTGATCGCTACTGTCGTAATCGTCATAAACACTTGGCAGGGGTTCTATAAAGTTCGATATATCTTCTTGATTTGGGTGCTGTGGATGATCATCAGAGGCGTTGTCTGGAGTTGCAGCTCAACGCTTTGCTTGGCTTGGCTGTGAATCTGAGGAATCATTTGATGGATTTGAATTACCTTTGTCTTCATTTGGGAGAGGATAAGGAGAATTTCCACTGGCATCAGTAACGTCGCTTTCATTAGTATCTTCATTTTCCTGAGGAGGAATTAACAGATTTGTAGCGTCGCTGTCGTTAGTATCTCCATTTTCTTGATTTTCAGAAGGAGAAGCTCCAGGTTCTGCGAAATTCTGAGTAGGTATGCTGGGAGCGTATACTTCTTCTGGAATCCTATCTGGATTGAATGGGAAAATTCCGGTCGCTTCAAATCCAGCTTTGACATTAGCAGGTGTCGCAGCTTCATCCCACACTTTGGAAAATAATATCCCAAACCTTTGTTTGGTTATTTTCCTGTCCTCGTGAATAGACCAGTATTTTAAAACTTCTTCATCCCAGTAATATTCAAAAGAACGAAATACTGATTTGTCCATGGGCTGCAATTCATGTGTGGTGTTGCTCGGGAGACAGAAAAGCTTGATGTCGAATTGTTCTGCTGCTTCAACTATCGAATAGTCTAAGTGGCACTTCGCTCCATCCAAGATAAGTAAACAAGGTCCTGGCAATTTAAATTTTGCAAAATGGTGTGTCCAGTTCACAAATTTTTCAGAATTCATACTCCCTTTGGGTGTCATTTGGGCTACTGAACCGGTGGGTAACGAATCTACCCATTCTGGCTTCATTCGTTCGCCCTTAAAGAGTATCATGGGCGGAATGACATGGCCTAAAGCGTTGCCACATGAAACTATTGTTACATTCTCGCCGTGTTCGGGTGCTACCAATTTTCTTCAATTTACTAAAATAATCGGAAACTACTGCTTTATTCAGCTTTTGTGCCCTTGCGGGGTTTAGGTTCTGTGCTTTTCGTCTACTGATATTCCTATGACGTTTTAAAAATCCTCTCAGCCAATCTCGTCCCACCATCAAGCCTCCACTTGGCGGTGGAATGTTATTTTGATCACAGAATGTCTTCACGCATCTACGAAGTACACGCTGTGTTAATGGATATCCCACATTACACAGACGAATAATACGGGATTCCAAAATCTTTTCATCTTCAGGGTTAAGAAGTGGTTTCCGGCCCAAAGTAGATTTGGTCTCTTTGTTTTCTTGTAAATAACGTCTCAGAGTGCGTCTTGGCACATTATAATGCTTGGAAGCCGTATAAATTTTCATTTTACCACTTCTGACTGCAGCTAAAGCTAATTTCATATTAGCATCTGCCCAGTTACTTCGAAGCCCTTTACATTTATAGCGTGCCATGGTCTAAAACAAAAAACAAAAAAACGTGTCAGCAATTCAGTAAGTACTATTAATATGGCCAAACGGTGGCCATATTTGCAGTCATCCAAATTTTTTGTTTTCATATTCACGAATGAAAAACACACTATTACTTTGATAAATGTACAAAGAAATATGAAACTACAATTATTACACAACATCGTAATGTGAATAATAAAGATTTATAATGAACACAACGTTAAAATACAGGACAATACTTACTTACTGTTTTTATAACCCCAACACTGCTTTTCACTATAATGACGGCTGAGCGGCTAACGCTTGCACGGATGGGTGACAGGTAGGCCGTTCGAATACATGCGACACTAGCGACAATTTAGGGTCGCGTTCAGCTCATAACAAACTTTCGTGTTTGGAAAACGGTATGTGGCCATATTTACAGGCTGGAGATATTCGACCTAGGTACCTTATTTACCGGAAAAGCTTTTGTTATACTTTTATATGTTTTCTACTATTTTGAGTTACAAAAATTATTTTTAATATTTTATTTTTGTTAACGGTCGATAATAAATGTTTTTTTTGCTTTTAGTTTATTTCTATTATAAAAAACAAATAATTATCTTCCGACTCTTATAAGCGCCAGCTGGCACACAGGAAACCGATTTGTAAGTCAGTGCCGTCAGCTCTTAGAAGAGCCGCAAAAAATCTAATTAAAAAAAATTTACGAAAATACCTCAATAACTGATTTTACGAAGTTATACTACCAAAATAACAAATTAACCATTATACAACTAATTGGCTCCTAGCTAAAACCAACCGAAAAAAGGTGGCAGTCAACGTGTTAAGTAGGTAGTATTTCCAGTTTAAGCGTAAGTAATGATAGTTAATTCACCGAACGTGCGTTTTATGTTTATACAAATAATAATTTTCGTTTCAACGCTTAATTGTTCAATTTTTTCTTGCTGGTGTATACGTTTGCTATTCCATTTGTTACACTGCGTCAGTTTTACCTCAGTTATTATAGTAATAATATCAGAGATATGTGCTAAATTTAACCACGTTTGATAACCATGACTATTAATTTTTATGAAGATTATAAAATGGTACTCTCTAATAACTAGAGTTCCGCTAGATCCAAGTGCATCAAAATTGTTAGAAAAATACAAGATGTTATGCTAGATCATTTATCCCATGTCAGCACAAAGGACAAAATAATCGAAAAATAAGAGCGCTTGTAAAATGTATTCATATAACGCGTTTTGTTTTATTAAAAGTCTTTATCACGAGCTGGCGGGTTCGAATCCCGTATAAGGAAAAACTTCCTGGCTATGCTCTGTGTCTGTCTAGTACAGAGTTGGGCATTATTGGAATAAATTGTTACCTACATAATTATCCGAATAACAATTGAATTGCAAGATAATTATATGTATATCCGTAAATATAAATTGTCTATGAATGGAATATTAGTGATTTTTAATTTTTATTTTAAATATTTTTTTTAATACTCATCTATATCACTTATACAATTATTTTAAATATACAGATCACCAAATATTAAGAAGTTTCCAAATATATGAAATATTCAGAAATTTGCGGTTGGTCCAGCAAACTTTTTTTTTGACGTCGGCTCAGACTTGGGAAATGACGCAGACTTACAGCATAAATCAGCGAACATGATGCCTGATGTTTCAAATTCGATCCTCGCCACTAGGATCTCTGAAACTTTAAAGAATCCGAAGTCGCTTAAATGGGGGCAAAGCTGCGTATTTAGGTAATTAACCAAATGCCGCTTAGAAAGGTTCGATACTCAAAGTACTTTCGGGGAAAGACAGCAAAGCAAAAAAAGAATTTTTGCAAAGTCGATTTTATTTTTTTCCTGACTTTATTTGTAGTGGGATTTAATAAATTGCACATTAACATTGCCACTTTATTTATTATTATGGATGCCATATTGGATTTTTGCATAGATGAATAGAGTTTTTAATTGTGGTTCCAAAAAATTTTAATACGTTATTGTTGACATGCCAAATCTAAGTTATTTCTAAAAAAGTAGAATTGTCTAGGTAGACCTTAAAAATTTGTTTTTGTTTCGCATGTTCCAGATTTATCCCAAAATATTTTTTATTTTTTCCTGGCTTCATTTGGGACAGGAATTCAAAATAAATTGAATATTTTCATTGTTTCTTATTCTTCTCTACAAGATGGCGTATTAAAATTTTCAATTCGAGATTTCTTCTTCCGACTTCCATCACCAAATTTGTTTTTTCACGTGGGTCCTAACTGGATGTTTTTGTTGGACATTTAAATTCTAAATTCAGTGCTGTATTTCCTTAGTTGGATAAGAATTTGTCGTTGGATGTAAATTATAAGGAAATAAAAAGGTATAGTAAAACCTGAACACAAAATGAAAATTTTATTGATGGTAATAACAATAATAATCTTAAACAAGCAGAAATAAGCCATAGAAGGTGTTCAAAATGTCCGCTATTTTGTAGTCAAAGCTGACTCCTCTCTGTACATTGTTCACTGCTCGATTCATTTCTCTTCTGTTTCAAAATTCTGATACTATGTTCAATTTCAGGACAAACAAATTTTGTTCTCTGTGAATGTTTCTCTAGTAATGCACTGTCTGTTGTGCCCTGAAGCCCATGGATACCAATCGGTACTTAAACACTTGCGCTCTCGAGCTTTCTTGAGGGTTACATGAAATATTTCTTTCTCAGTCGTAAAGGATAATTCAGATGTCTAGTACACTATACGTGGGAAGTATTACGATATCCGCATACAAATTCCATTATTTCTTATGTCACAGTTACCTTGGTGCAATAATAGCATCTAGTATAAATAAACGAGGTATAGGTACACAGTTACACATGTAGTTAAAGTTCAGGTGCACACTAAATTACATACTTTTCCTAGTTTTTCAATGTCAGCTTATCATATTATGTAGTGAATAGCTACATCGCGACTCAGCACTGCTGACAAGTATTTCGACTTGATAGCACCTAGTTGGTGAGCAGGAACAAGCTTTAAAGATTTTAACTGTAACCACAAAACGATCCATTAACAACGTAAAGGATTTTAAAGAAAATCAATCAACCACTTGCGTGTTTTCTGTTTGTTAGTGGGATAAATAAAAAAATGGCGTCAATTAGATTGCCTCTATACTTCCTATGCCTTCGTTGGGGATTTCAAAGGTAAGAGATGAGTCTAATCGTTTGATTTTCAAAATCTATGGCTACCTAAGATGGAAGAGTTAAACTCGCAGTCACTGGCTGTTGTATATCAATGCGTCATGAGTACTGAGTCAATCTACTTGATGAAATATTGAGAGAACCACAAACTAAAGGTTAAGCGAAACGGGTGGTACATTTAACGATCATGAAATTTAAAAAAAAATATATGTGTAGATATAAAAACAGTTAAGTCATCATTTACAAAAGCATCGCAGAGCACTCCTAATATCCAAATACTGCTAAAATATACAGGGTGTCCCAGAAGTCGACGTCAAGCCGAAACCGGGTGATAGGCAAAGTCATAACAGCTATCAGAAAAATATTTAAAAAAAATTTATGTATGTGTTTTGAAAATTATAGGTCTTTGAAAAAAATATAGAAATTTCACACCCTACGGCAGTCTGTCAACTCCTGTTACTACAAATATTAACTTTTTTTGGATTTTATTTTTACAATCTAATGATGAATAATGCATCTTCAAACTGGTGTCTCAATCTTACTGCCAACTTTTCTCGTTCAGGAAAAATTGCCACTTATTTCCCAACCAAGTATTCCAAAGTAAAACTTTGCTCAACTTTAACTGGCTGTACTGGAAAAAAATGTACTGCGAGAGTTTGGCAAGTAACCTTAAAAGTTGGCGCATTTAATAAGGATTCCAAAATGGTATAACACTTAGAAGATTACTCGTTAACTTATGCACAATTTTTATTTGAAGAAAAACTGATGAAAATTTTTCAAAATTTCCTAATTATACGTAAACAGCGATTATGAAAACGCACAAGGACCCTTAAGGATAACTGTTTGCACAACAGTGGGCGTCAAAATGCTGCTGATGATGATTTACCTTTACAGCAAATGCTCAAACTGTTTTAATTCAGCCGCAATACACGCTCGACATCTTAAAAAAGATCGGGTTATTAAACGAGCGAATCCACGGTTATTAACAAACTCAGCTGCTTCCAATAGTCTTTGCCGTAGCTCAGTTCCCCGGTAAATAAATCTAACGGATTCAAATCTGGTTACCGGGCTGGCCACGGTATTGTACCAGACCGCTCTATCCATCTGCCTGGAAAGTTTTGATCGAGATACTCTCTCACTGAGAGTGCATAGTGCGCTGGGCAGCCATCATGCTGAAACCACATGTCCCTGTAAATACTCAGTGGCACGTCCTCCAATAAATTTTCTAAATGATTTTGCAAAAAACCTAAATAAACCTCAGCTGTCAAAGTCTCTGGGAACTCAAACGGACCGATTATTTTACCATTTAAAATTCCCGTCCAATGGTTTATCTTGAAGCGATATTGAGATTTATCTTCTCTCATCAAATGTGGGTTTGCTACGTGCCACTCGTGTAAGTTATGCAGGTTCATGTACCCATCTTTCTTAAATGTGGTCTCATCTGACCATAAAATTTTTTCAAAGAACCGTGGATCTTCCCTGTGTCTTCCTAACATTGTGCGACAAAAAGCAACTCGGGGCTCATAATCCCGGGGCAGAAGAGCTTGAACACGCTGTACGTGGTATGGATGGAGCACGTTTTTTTGCAAGATTCTATGGGCTGTACTTTTGGGCACACCTGCACACCTGTTTTTAGTTCTATTGCACGCACTGAAGTACTCGGGTCTTCTTCGACAGCTCCTGGCACCACGTCTTCGTAACTAAGGAAAGATCTTCCCTCACCGTGTGATTGGTTTGGTAGTTGGCCCTCTGAGAACAGTAAGCGGTGCACATTTGTGAACACTCGATGATCTGGAGGACGAGCTGCATTCGGGTACCTCTCACAGTAAA